GGTGGCTCTGATGCCTAACTGAGTGGTGACGAGCTGAAGAGGTGGCTCTGATGCCTAGTTGAATGTGTGACGAGCTAGAAAGGTGGCTCTAATGCCTAGCTAAATGGTGACAAACCGGAGAGGTGGCTTTTGATGCCTAACTGAGTGGTGACAAGCTGGAGAGGTGGCTCTGATGCCTAGCTGAATGGTAACGAGCTGGAGATGTGGCTCTAATGCCTAGCTGAATGGTGACAAGCTAGAGAGGTGGCTCAAATGCCTACTTGAATGGTGATGAGCTGGAGAGGTGGATCTGATGCCTAACTGAGTGGTGACGAGCTGGAGAGGTGGCTCTAATGCCTAGCTGAATGGTGACGAGCTGGAGAGGTGGCTCCGATGCCTAAATGAGTGGTGACGAGCTGGAGAGGTGGCTCTGATGCCTAACTGAATGGTGACAAACTAGAGAGGTGGCTTTGATGCCTAGCTAAATGGTGACGAACTGGAGAGGTGGCTCTGATGCCTAATAGAGTGGTGACAAGCTGGAGAGGTGGCTTAGCTGAATGATAACGAGCTGGAGAGGTGGCTCTGATGCCTAATAGAGTGGTGACAAGCTGGAGAGGTGGCTTAGCTGAATGATAACGAGCTGGAGAGGTGGCTCTGATGCCTAGCTGAATGGTGACAAGCTGGAGAGGTGGCTCAAATGCCTAACTGAATGGTGACGAGCTGGAGAGGTGGCTCTGATGCCTAACTGAGTGGTGACGAGCTGGAGAGGTGGCTCTAATGCCTAGCTAAACGTGACGAGCTGGAGTGGTGGCTTTGATGCCTAGCTGAATGGTGACAAGCTGGAGAGGTGGCTCTAATGTGACCTGCAAGGGAACAGTGTCAGAGTGCCCGAGTTGCTTTACCCGGGGTGGGCACTCTGATGCTTAAGTTAGTGAATCAAAGATTTTAAGATAGCTAAATGTGAGAGAGCTGGAGAGCTGCGAGAACTAAAAATTACGCATCTACCTGGGTCTCAGGGGCTGATGCCCTTATATAGTTGGGTTGTCGTGGGTCTTGCGAAACGCTCCCGGAATCCTCGGCCCACGATGTAGGGGTCCGTTCCACTTTGAAAGGAGGATAGCGTGCCAGTACTAAGGCTTACCTTTTCCCTCCGATTCGGACGGGATGAGGATAAGGCCTACGGTTACGCGACGTGATCCTGAAAGGTTTGGAGACAACTGGTAAGCTTCTAGAGAGGTAGGTTGCCAGGTCGATGGAAAAAGTAGGTTGCCAAGTCAGTGACAAAGGCAGGTCGCCAGGTCGGCAATAGAACTAGGTCACCAAGTCGGCGGCAGAGGTAGGTTGCCAACTGGGACCCCATTTTGGCTAAGGCAAGTTGTTGCCTAGGTGATACTGGGATGTAGTCCAACTGTTTTGATATGCCATGATGTCAGTGGAGGGCCAAATCTACCCTCATCAATTGCCCCCCACTCCCTTCGCTGAGCTGATCTCAGCTTGTTTTGATATGCCATGATGTAGTCCAACTGACACACTGCAACCGTGACACTGATCCGCTATTTAAATTCCAACATCAACGCACATATCGCAAGGGGAAGCCAAACAACTTTTAGCATCAAGGACCCCTAAGCCGACCTTGAAATATGTTGGTAATAGGCCAACGGACCTATGACGAAGCATGAATCTACTTCCTAAAAGTTGTTTGGCTTCCCCTTGCGATATGTGCGTTGATGTTGGAATTTAAATAGCGGATCAGTGTCACGGTTGCAGTGTGTCAGTCCTTGAAGGTGTTGGTCATCTGCTCATACGATAAGCCACAAGGAGATCAACCTGCAGGGGCAACTTTACTAGCTGCAGGTTGCCAGCTTGCATGGGAACCTTAAAAGGTTCAACCCGCAAGGGCAACTATAGTCCATTGGCCGACTCCTGCGGGAGCCACGGAGGGCTCGACCTGTAGGGGCAACCTCGCGAACAGGGCTGGCAAGGCTCGTTCGGGCTGATTATGTGTGTCGCCAGGTCAACGGAGGTAGTTCGCCATCTCGACGACAGAGGCAGATCACTAGGTCAGTGGAAGTAGGTCACCAGGTCAGAGGCAGGTCTCCAAGTTGCCAGGTCATCGGAATTTTGACAGTCTAGTTTTGCTCTCAACACCTTGGCCTACAGACACCTTGTCACCTCGGCAAGACTGACCTATGAGGGCGACTCCACAACCAGCTAGCCATCAACTCCCACGTAAAGCATGGAGGGCTCGATCTGCGGCGTGACCTCACAGTTTGTTGGCTATCAACTCCCACGGGAACCACAGAGGGCTCGACCTGTGGGGTGGCCTCACATTCTCTTGGTCGTCAACTCTCATAGAGAGCACGTAGAGCTCGACATATGGGGGTGGCCCACATTCTGTTGGCCGCCAACTCTCGCAAAGAGCACGTAGAGCTCGATAAATGGTGGTGGCCTTACAATTAGGGAGATTCTGCCCTGGCAAAACTNGACCTCACAGTTTGTTGGCTATCAACTCCCACGGGAACCACAGAGGGCTCGACCTGTGGGGTGGCCTCACATTCTGTTGGCCGCCAACTCTCGCAAAGAGCACGTAGAGCTCGATAAATGGTGGTGGCCTTACAATTAGGGAGATTCTGCCCTGGCAAAACTGYGAGAACTTGTTTGGGCTAATCATTTTGTTTCTGCCCCCTTAGGGGATTCTTTCGATCAAGCGTTGTTGTTGTTGCTTGAAGATGTTATTACTTGAGGTTCAGAGAATCAAGCGAGAACATAACCTTTTGTAGTGTTTCCTACAGACGACGCCAATTGATGATGCGCATTTTGGCAGCTCCCGACTAGCTAATGACTCAGATGACTGGCTGAATAATTCTTACYTGGAAGATGGCTTGGACGTCTAACTGAATGGTGACGAGCAGGAGATGTGGCTCTGATGCCTAGCTAAATGGTGACAAACTGAAGAGGTGGCTCTGATGCCTAGCTGAATGGTGACGAGCTGGAAATGTGGCTTTGATGCCTAACTGAGTGGTGATGAGCTGGAGAGGTGGCTCTGATGCCTAATTGAATGGTGACGAGCTGGAGAGGTGGCTCTGATGCCTAGCTAAATGGTGATGAACTGGAGAGGTGGCTCTGATGCCTAATTAAATGGTGACGAGCTGGAGAGGTGGCTCTGATACCTAACTGAGTAGTGACAAACTGGAAAGGTGGCTCTAATGCCTAGCTGAATGGTGACGAGCTGGAGAGGTGGCTCTGATGCCTAACTGAGTGGTGACAAGCTGAAGAGGTGGCTCTAATGCCTAGTTAAATGTGTAACGAGCTAGAAAGGTGGCTCTAATGCCTAGCTAAATGGTGACAAACTGGAGAGGTGGCTTTTGATGCCTAACTGAGTGGTGACAAGCTGGAGAGGTGGCTTTGATGCCTAGCTAAATGGTAACGAGCTGGAGAGGTGGCTCTAATGCCTAGCTGAATGGTGACAAGCTGGAGAGGTGGCTCTGATGCCTAGCTGAATGGTGACGAGTTGGAGAGGTGGCTCTGATGCGACTTGTAAGGAAACAGTGTTAGTGTCCGGGTTGCTTTATCCGGGGTGGGCATTCCGATGCTTAAGTTAGCGAATCAAAGATTTTAAGATAGCTGGAGAATTGCGAGAACTAAAAATTGCGCATATACTTGGGTCTTAGAGGTTGATGCTCTTATATAGTTGGGCTACCGTGGGTCTTGCGAAACGCTCCCAGAATCCTCGGTCCGTGACGTAGGGTCCGTTTCGCTTTGGAAGGAGGATAATGCACCAGTTAATAAGGCTTACCGTTTCCCTTCGATTCGGGTGGGATGAGGATAAGGCCTACAATTACGCAGCATGATCCCGAAAGGTTCGGAGGCAATTGGCAAGCTTCTAGAGAGGTAGGTCGCCAGGTCGGCGACAGAGGCAGATCTCTAGGTCGGCAACAGAGGTAGGTCTCCAGGTAGGCGATAGAAGTAGATCACCAGGTCGACGGCAGAGGTAGGTCACCAGGTTGGCGACAGATGTAGGTCGCTAGGTCGGTGACAGAGGCAGGTTGCCAAGTCAGCAGTAGAAGTAGGTCACCAGGTCGATGCTCGATGGTAGAGGCAGGTCGCGAGTTGGGACCCATTTTGGCTAATGCAAGTTATCACTTAAATGATACTAGGATGTAGTCTAGTTGTTCTCATATGCCATGTGTCATGATATTAGTGAAGGGCCAAATATGGCTATAGCCTATGGGCTTGCGAATTAGCCGCCCGACATCTCAACTCAGGTAGGTATTCGGGATGCCCATAATCGCAGAGACCTGGGCTCCCGGGCTTCAAGCCTGTCAACTCTAGTCCTAATGGCCCAGCCCATGTTTCCGTAGAGTCAGTCTCTGTGATAAGCGCCTTTGTCTCCGGCTGGGACCCCATTCGGCTCCGGGAGCTTTTCGTTGGCCGTTGGGCACACTAGACTAGACACTGGTCAATTGATGGAGCAAGAGCCAAATCACGGGTTTCTCAGTCACAGGCAGCAACAATCGATTAATATGCACCTTCTCGAAAGTGGGCAAATGTTCTTCTGCCTAACGTTCAAGTGACCAGAGATTGAGTCCCTTCCGTCGTTGTCTGGCTGTCTGCACAGCTCCCGAAGCATAAGCAGAAGCATTGGCTTTCCTCGAAGAGCTTACTTTCTTTGGCGCTTAGGCTTCGGACATGGTGAGCCCATTTCCTGTTGAGTGTCTCTTGTTCTTGTACTCCTCCCTGCCTTCCCTTCGGTACCGTACCCTGTTGCCTTCATTCAATAAAATAAGATCGATGTCGGCAGATACGGTGAGTCGGGACGATGGGTCGAAGAAAAGTTGGAACTCTTGAGGACTACAGCAGTTCTTTTCCTCCTTCCGTTAAAAGAGACGGAAGGGATTGGTATCATAATTACATTTGCTGTTGGATTCGCATACTTTCTAGATATGTGGCACAGGCAGCGTAATAAAGGATTCAATCCGACGGTTTACATTTTGGGATAAAAAAACTTGGGTGTGTTGTCATACTTCCTAGTACGGCAAAGAGAAAATTACATACTTGCTACTCAAGTGTCTTTAGAGTCTCAGACAAGTACTCTCCGGGGAGAGGTCGCATCTCTCTCTCTCTCTCTCTCATGGAGTAAGTTGTCCGTTTCCGTTTACATGGTAGTGAGTAAAATTCCTTAATGAAAGTGGGGAGCGTTGCGTTGCGACTCATCCAAGGAAGAAGCAGCCTATATTTCACCAAGAAATCTTTTTCCCTTAAAAATTCTCTTGACAATTTTTTGGGTGGGCAATACTTCGCTGAATTTCATGGTTTCAGGTCTAAGTTTTTCCCTTGTCTATCGGTTCTATCGGTTCTGAGTTCGCAAAGGCAAGTCGTCTCATCGGCTTTTCTTGTTTTCTTTCGTATTACTGTAAACATCGTAATTGTGTGTGTTTTTCTGATTCTTTACTTTTTAAGTTTTTATATTCGCCTTGTTTCCTACCCACTTTTTCATTTCTCTGTAGAAATTTTGGGTTTGTGGTTGATGGGTTTTGATGGAACTGAAGTCGTTTTAATTTGAATTTATTTTCTTTTTACCTTTTTTGCTTTCCGGGTGTGATTTTTTTGTGGAATGAGTTAGAGGGGAAAAATGAGGGAGGATCATGCTCGAAAACAAGTATTGATTCCTACTCTTTTGCAGTCATATCACCGTTCTGAATACTGGATTATTGTCACTGTCGTTGTTGTTATTGATTTTTTGGGGAATAATTTCAGTTGTCAGCTTATGAGATGTGATTGGAATTAACTTCAAGTGGGATTCTGTGTATGTAACGAGTAGTTTTTCTTGAAGTGGAAAAGACTTGGGATTTGGATTCCCCAACCTTTGATACTATGGCTTCTGATGATTATCATCATCATGTGCATTTTAAACCTTTTATCTCACATCATACAGGGGAGGTTTCTTAGGGTCTTCTTCCTTCTTTCTGAATTTCTTTCTTTTAATATTCCCGGGGGAGGCCTTTATGTATATATGTTTTCCCGCTTCCCCTGCTGATTACTGAGAGGTTTTACCAAGCAGAAATACACGAAATTGTCCTATGTACTGATTAATCTAGAACCTTATTTATTTATTGAGCCTTATTGTTAGCTTCCTTTTTCTCCATTTTTTCCTGGATTTCCATTGTTTTCTTTTTCTACTCTAAGAAGGTTGTGGTCTTTTGTTGGTTCCTGATTTAAAATTGGACCGTGTACTGCATCTAAGAGGTGTCACCGGTGAAGCGGTTATGATTCATCCTTGTTAGGCTATTGGTACAGTTTGAGAAGCGAGAGGCGCCATCCTGAATGCAATTCCGCAGTTCTTTTCTATGCAGGAAATTTCATCTGCACTTATGACATTGGAAGCTTGCTCCAATGCGAGGAATTTTCCACTTTTTATTGAGACACCATAACAGTTGGGCCAGATGTTATTTCTGATTCTATCCAAACTGCACTTTGTATCTCCGGTTAATAACATTTTTTTCTTCTTTTACTTGGAACCTGAATCAGAAACTTCTTTCTGCATGCCACAATTTCTGTAAATTAATTTTGTGATACAGATATATAAAATCAGAATAATAATACAGTAGTCTATCACAAAAATGAACATGGAGAGGAAACTTTAGGTAACTCAGGCCTGAATTTCTGTTATTACTTTCCTGGCTAATGATATGTTCATGCTATTCAATGCAGGTCTATCAGAGACTGGCACAAGAACTGACAAGTAAACACATCACATACTGTACATTTGCTACAGAATAAATGGAACAAAGTACTTGTTTCTCCTTATCCATTTGACCTTTATCATAGTTGCATGCTATTTTTCATGCTTATGTTGGTATGCAAACAGAAATTCGCTGCCATCAGTATGAGGCTTGTATTTTTGCCTTACCTTTTATGCTTGATTTTAACTGATAGTCCATTATTGTTATTATCTTATGAGAAATAGGTCAGGGGTCAATAGTTGCAATTCTTTTTTTTTGTCAATAGTTGCAATTCTTTTTTTTTTTATCAATAATGCATTTCATTAATCAATCAGAAATAATAATTACAAAGAAAGGGATAAACTTTCTTATCTCCCCCAACTGAGGCTTGAGCCCCCATGAATAGGAATTAGAGTTACAACTGAGCCCAGAACATAGATTCCCTCGCCATCCCTTGCTTAGCTAACCCATCAGCAAATGAGTTAGCAGATCTCTTCACCCAGCTGATCTTGACTCCCATGTCTTTAACCAGCCACCTAAACTTTCTCCTTCCATTGCTGTAATTCCATAACCCAGTATTGTCTTTATTCAGYGACCCTACAACCACCTCCGAATCCCCTTCAATTACAAGCCTTCTTATATTCATTTCCTTTGCTCTTTGGTCACCTTCCATAACTGCATATATCTCGGCTCTTAGAGAATTACCCACCCCAATTGGACCTGAGAACAGGGCTGAAACATTTCCATTCCCATCCCTAAACACACTCCCAACCCCTGCATGCCCCGGGTTTTCTCTACTACTACCATCAAATCATAAAGCCAAAGGGGGGAGGGGTCCAAGACAAACTCAGTCCTGTTTTGACCTAGGTGCATCTAACAATCTCTCCCCATTTCCTTAACAAATCATCCAGTTTATAATCTATGAACAGATCTAATGATTTCAGCCACTGTACCACCCTTATATGAATCATATCTCTCAGATTTTCAGCGCTTCTCTCTATTTCGGAGAAGATCTTRGAGTTTTTTTCTTCCYATAGAGACTAGCAAACCACAGCCCTTGGGCATCTCCACATAGTTCTACCCCYTTTCAAATGCCACCTGAAAAAAAGAAAAAGATAAAAGGCTCTGCAAGTTCAATGGAGGGGTCCAACTACACCCAAAGAGGGAAGAAGCCCATTCCCAAATAGTCTTTGCAAACTGGCATGACACCAATAGGTGAAAACCAGTCTCCCCATTGGCTTTACAAAGAACACACCTGTGAAGGGATAAACATGTCTTGGGTCCCTTCTTTTGAATCAAATCACTAGTGTTGATTCTTTCTAGAAACGGTTCCCAACAAAAAACTACCAACCCTAGGGGGGAATTGGTTTGCACCAAATCTCTTTGGTAGGGAAAGGAAGGCCTAGGGAGCTGGTTGGCTGAGTTAAGACTTTGAAGAAAGAGGCGCAAGAGAAAGAGCCCATGGAGAGTTGGGGTCCAAATTCTAGTGTCTTCCTTTGTGGGCTCCAAGAAGATATTTTCAAGAAGACCTAGGAGACTCAAGATGCTGTTTAGGTCTGTATCTCTAACAACCCTCCTCAAACCCAAATTCCACCCAAACCCAGAGTTTGAAGAATACGGGATGATGGAGGAAGAAATTGGCTCATTTTTCAAGTCGGAGAGGGCATATAAGGATGTAAACTGATCCTTCAGAGGAGCATTCCCCACCCAAGTTTGTTCCCAAAATTTTATAAGGTTGCMTGAGTTTAACTCATACTTGATRAGAGGGGAGAAAAAAAATTGGTAACAAGTCATGGATGGCTTTCCAAGGTGATGCACTTCTRGTCTTTGCCTGAATTCCAGGATCCCATCCGTTGTTCTCYAGCCCATGAATGCTAGCCACTATTTTAGCAAGAGAACTTCCATAACCATTTCCCCAGAAGAGCCACATTCCTTTTCCTGGTATTCCCAAGCCCTAACCCACCTAAGATTTACTCTGCACACTCCCTGACCTCCCCCTCCTCCATATTCACTCCCACTACACAACTTTTCTCAAAATTCATCTTAAGGCTGGACATTTGTTCAAAGAGTTGTATCATCAATTTCATGTTTTTGGGCCACCTCAGATTTCCACCTTCACAGAACAAAACTGTGTCATCTGCAAACTGTAAGTGGGTAAGGGGGGTATCCTCCCCAAAACATCTACAATCAATGTAAACAAGAAGGGAGAGAGTGGATCCCCTTGTCTTATTCCCCTCATGGCTAGGAAGAAATCTACCACTGTCCCATTTACCAACACAGAGTAATGACAATTCTGAACACACCTCATAATCCATTTACACCATCTTTTTTTTTTTTTTTTTTTATGAATACCATTTAAACCATCTTTCCCTAAACCCAAAATTAACCATAACTTTCTT